GTTGCAGAGAGAATCTACGAAGCCTTCTCAGGCATCTCAGGAGAACTTGGCAAGAGCAAATCCGTCACGACAGAATAGTAGAGAAAGGAGAGAACCTCCACCAAGGCCTAGGAGGCCGTCAGAGAAAGATCTACCACCATCTGATATGACTGATCTGCAACCTCCAGAGTTTATGTCTCTCTCGAACAATATGTTTCCTTCTCGAGGTTCAAGCCGAAGCGGTTCAGAGAGTGATATGCCTCGAGGCCTCGCGCCGTCTCACGCTTTACGTCCACCGCCACCGGTAGCTTCTGGGCTTGGTGATGCGTCCTTGAACGCGCTCCACACGCCTTCGGACTCTGGCTTCTCGGATGATTCGTACGCCAGCTCTGGCTACCGAAGCGTAGCAAGCTCGAGGTCAAGCCCACCGGAGTCCGAAGCTGCGCACTCACGCCAAACTTCCAAGATTAGTCGTCCCGACAACATTGTTGAAGAGGGTGTTGAAAGAAGCGCAAGCCCAGAGTCCTATGCTGAAGCACGGCCTGTTCGAGCACCTCGAAGCTACATGAGGCCCGATGGTGCGGAGCCATACCCACGTGCGCTCTCACCGGGATATCGCCAGGACACATTTCCGCCCGGAGGATATGCAAGGTATCCAGAGTCGCCTATGGATCCCGCCATACAGATGGGTGCGCCGACGCCACGCGACACATTCGACCCGGTATCTCCGCAGGACCCAGCAGAAGTCAATGTAAGCCCACCGAGGCGTATGGCCGATCCCGAACCTCAGCAGCAAGAGGTGCGCCGACCCAAAGCTTCTAGCAAAGGCAACTGTCGCGGGTGCTCCGAACCGATCGTTGGAAAGTCCGTGAAGGATTCTTCTGGTCGCCTTACTGGACGCTACCACAAGCATTGCTTTGTCTGCAGAACGTGCGCCGATCCCTTTCCGACAGCGGAGTTTTATGTCTTCGAGAACTCGCCATACTGTGAACAACACTACCACAAGCTCAACGGATCTCTGTGCAATGCCTGCAACCGCGGCATCGAAGGCCAATATCTCGAAACGGACTTGCGCCAAAAGTTTCATCCAAGATGTTTCACATGCACGACCTGCCGCATCGTCCTCCGCGACGGTTACTTCGAGGTCGCTGGCCGGCGATACTGTGATCGACATGCGCAAAGTGCCGCAGCTCCTCCGAGGAGTAACCTAGGCCCGGGCAATTACAGACCGCGAAATCTCCAGAAGCGTGGTACAAGACTCATGATGATGGCTTGAACTGCTTACTTCTAATGTTGCCTTTATTGCTTCTTCTTTGCTTATATTCTGCTTTTCTTTTGTCACGTCCTTTAGCGATCTGGTTTTTTGGGCCTTTTGCATGAATATTCACCCTCTTCATTCTTTCTGATACCCGGCCAGTCCGCTGTTTCTTTACCATCTCTTCTGCGTTATACCCCTTACTCTATACATTCGCTACACCTTATAATTATCTTTTGTATCGGTGTTGAATGATAGACAAGCACCACTTCTTGTGGTCGCTTTGGGTGGTGCTTGATATACCACTTTCCGTTAGACAGGCTTTAGTCTCTGGGAGACTGATCTTACTTTGTTTATCACGAGGTCCGACTGCACGTGTACATATCTATGTAGCATACTTAATGTTTACTGTTCATCGCGGTGAGCTTATGAATATCGAACATGAGGCTTGATTGTGCTTCCTTATCTCGTGGTAATATATCATCACCGCATTGCATGGCACACAGTTTCATGAAATGTACAAACTAAACAGCTGAAAGATCCCAAAAAAAAACATAGGCAGCCCTGGAAGAGGGCGCACCCGTTGACAACCAACGTCATTTGTCGCTATGCTGGCATGTACGCCTACACCCAAGAGCGAGAGTCGACTGTTTGGTCGATTACTTACGTCTGCGACTTGGAGATCTCCATTCAAGAATCTCCATCGCGACATCGTTTTGCACTTGCCATAGGATTACCACTCGGATAGTCGAAACGCTGTCATACTTCAATGATGCACGAACACAATACATTCAATCAAGTAGAGAAGTATATATACAATGTCCTCGATGCGCTCTAGGACCTCTTGCATAAAAGCCATAACATCTTTTGATACGATACAGCTACAGCATCTATCAAAGCCTAAGAAACAGCGTTGTCTGTCCGACTAAATCAACAACCACCAATTACATAAAGAACATGTGTCTCATGGACCAGTCCCTCTTACATCTATCAAGAAACCCAGATCCCCTTCCTCCTCCCACTCCTCCTCCATCGCCGCCACGTCCAAACTCAGCCAGCTCAACTGGTAAAGCACAGCCTGCAATCCGCGGCCCGGTAGGTTCTCAGCATTTGAAAATACAAATCAAACATGAACTAATATCCATGGAAGAAACCTGATCCTACAACGCCGTCACCACCGCCTTCTGGTCCGCCCAACTCGCCCAACAATCAACTTCAACAATTGGACTTGATTTCCAGCGCTAGGAATTTTGTTATAAGTTGTGTCTAGGAGCCAATTGTGGAAACGTACAGTTAAGGGTGTGGTGTGTGCCAATGGCTATCATGCTAGAGAACGCAGGTTATCGAGTTTGATGGAATCTGATGACGGCTCTGCAGTACATGCTTGGATACTGTAGTTCCCAACCTTTCCCCAACACCACAGACGACAATATCCCATAGCATGATATCACGATGCAGATGAACATACCATGCTACTACCCTAGCGAAGCTTACTTCTGAGCGATAACCACCCATTGACTAGCCCTCATCCATACTTCCTCTCCAACCTTCTTGGTGCCCTCCTGCTCCAAGATATGCTTCACAAGTAGATCGACAGCTTCGTCCCATCTCTCACCATCCGTCTCCTTCCAGCCCCCTATGTTACCCAAATACGCCCAAGACTTTTCTGCCCAGTCCTTCAAGTCGGTAGTCTTCGCCCACGCCTCGCTCCTTTCGACTCTCATATTCTCCTTCAAGAAGCCTGCTTCCAACATCACTCTCTGGATTTGCTGCCCGTCTTTCCAGATGATGGGAGGTGCTGGGTAGGGGTTCCCTGGACGGAGTGCTTGATGTACGAGCGCAAAGGGTGGTAACCAAGTGACATCCTCCCAGCAATTTACTACAGCGGTCCCGCCAGGTTGAAGTGTACGGTAGATTTCTTTGGCACCGTCGAGACCAGCACCAGTAGTAAAGAAAATACCGATGTTATTGATAGAGTGCGTAAAGTGGTTGTCGGGAAACGATAGACTCTCAGACTTCTGGTTGGACACATAGATCGGCCAGGAGTTTCTATCTGCATCTGATCGAAGCTTGTCGAGGAAGACTTGATCGATATCCGTGGCGTATATCTTTAGATCTGATAGCGCATTTGAGGAAAGAATTATGCGAGAGACTGTTCCGGCACCACATGCGTTGTCATGGATAACCGAGGTTGGGGGTATGGGTGGGAGGAGAGACAAGTTGTGAGCTGCAAATTGAGAAGTAACGGCGCCACCTGTGGCTTCGTACACATCGACTTTGTTTTGGCCTTCAAGTAAGATAGCGACCTGTTTTGGCTGGTGTTCAGTGTTAGAAGCCATATCAAAGTTCTGTGGGTTTATGCTTGGGTATCATCAGCCTCTTAAATACCGATTTTTCTTAGTCCAATACTACCTGGTGACTATGCTACAAGTGTCGATTCGTGCGTCTGTCAGGCCGCAAAGAACTTAGTCATCCCTTTCATGTCTCACGCCTCTGTACTGTCAGGCAAGCTTGATTGGTGGATCCGTAGGCAGTCACACGTGGTGCTTACTTCGGGGAATGGATCGTATTTTGCCTAAACAGACCTAGAAGATTACGGGCTGCAGTCAGAATCATACTATGACGGACGACCTGGACGCAGTGGCGGACTTCTTCAGAGCCGGAGATGACGGGGCTCGGAGGAGGCTGGAGCGGATGACGCGCTCCAAGCTTCGGATCCGGACCCCTCGCGCTAGAGTCAGCAGTTCTCGTCCCTCTTCCCCCAACAGTACAGTCGCTTCGAACCTAGTACGATTCCCAATGCATCGTGTCAATGACTCCTCTTCCTCGAAGTTTCGTGGTTCGTTACCAATCAATATTGCCCCTCTCACAACGCGATGACCCATGCGAATACAAGTGTCTGCCTGCCTGACGACAAGAGGTTACGCCAGCAATATTTAATCGCCCTACTCACGCAATCAAACGATTATTATCTAGAGATATGATGCGAGACATGGTGCATTCGATGCGCTCTCGATAGAGTGATGTGAACAGCTCTCGACTGCTCTTTTCTGGACATCGTAGTGATATACTATTACATTCACTACGTAGGCGAGAGAGATCTGAGGTAGACGGATAGTGGTTCTTGACAGGTTGAGAGTGTTGCAGATGAAGCATGGCCTTGGTGCACTGACACACCTGATCAAAAAGGACAAACAGAATGTTCGTGGTGAGCGCCAGCACATTTGAACAACCCGATATACTCAAAGACCTGCCTAGATAGGCTTTTAGCCTGTCACAGTTCTCCATAGTCATGGTCTGCAATACGAATTGCTGCAAGAAGCCGTGTCACGGCAACATTCCGACTGCTTGGCTCAGCATCTCCTGATAGGTATTGCACACAGTTGAACAAGAGTACAGAATTCTGTACCGGAATCGGTTCAGTATAATAGATCGCCCAAGGTAGCAGTATGGTGCTCTCCTAAGCAAGTTCCTAGAACATGTTCCTGTACATCCTCTTCCTGCTTGGCATAAGCCATGCAATTGCGCCACAGCCACAGTTCGTGTTATCGTCACTACAACTCAAGCATTGCTCACTATATATAGTCCAATATACTCGCCTCTACGACCACCTTCAGTACCTCTGGCAGTTCGGTCGCCTTACACCAGCGCCTGGAGCACGACTTATGGTGGCAGCACACTTAACAATCGAAACGTTACTTTTTGGAACGGAAGACCTATAGGATGGACTGGTATTGTACGTGTGGATGGAACGTCTTACGAATACATGGGGGACTCGCCTTCCGTCAACGATCTCCATAAAGCAATACCGCTGACCGTATCTTACGACTCGCAGTACGTAACATTCCTGTATGAACTGCACGTGAGATATAAACTGACTTCCCACACGTGACTTTAGCTACAGTAATTTCACTTTTGACGCTGGACCCGTGAGAGTCGAGGCGCGATTCTTTTCTCCTATCCTGCCGCAAGATCTCTGTAAGAGTAGTGTTCCGCTCAGCTATCTGGAAGTTGCGTACATCACCACCGATGGAGCTTCACATGATGTACAACTTTATTCAGATGTGGATACCAGTTGGCTAGCGGATGGCAATTCAACGATGCGATGGAGTATCGACTGTCCCGGCGAGTCTTTCGATGATCACGAATGCCCAACCAAGGGCACAGGAACTCCCGAAACATTATACCATTGGTGAGTTCATTGAAAGAAGAACATGTTTGGTACGTGTCTGATTAGCTCGAAGGGAAGCAGAGATCCTGGATCAGGTTTCATGGTTTGAACGTGGTCTTAGAAATGAACCATACTGGGGCAAGCTACACTACATTTCTTCTCCTCGCTATGCCACGGAATTCAGTTTCGCCAATGGATTAGCAACCACTACACGGAAGCAGTTCGTTCGCGACGGCGCACTGGATCGTTCCTTTGATCAGGATCAGCCTCGACGGCCAGACGACAGGGTGCCTGTGTTCGCTTATTCCCATGCCTTCACGACGAGCCAGTCAGGATCGGTGTTATACACCGTCGGTACGACCCAAGAGCCTGCTGTGCACTACCGTACCGCCATCGGGGATGTCGAGCTTCAGCCATGGTGGATGACGAATAATTGTTATTTCACTATCAACAACATGATTAGTAAACACTACCAAGACTACACCGCTTCTGCGAAAGAGGCCAAAGTTTGGACCATGCAACTTCGCCATGACGTCGCTACCTATTACGCTAAGGATAGAGCGAAAGATGACAGTACAGAAGTATCTTCTATGTCGGAAGAGGAGTCGTACTATGCCATTCTCACACTTTCCACTCGCCAGATCTTGGCTGCGAACGTTCTCACAGAATCTGCAGACAACGCTACGGGAGCAACCATCTTCCAGAAAGAAATCTCCTCAGACGGGAAGGTGAACACAGTTGATGTGATCTATCCTGCATTGCCCTTTTGGCTTTACGCAAATCCTGAGCTTCTTCGCTTGCTCCTCAAGCCCATCTTCGAGTTTCAGGAGTCTGGACTTTACCATGAACAATATGCCATGCATGATATTGGTCGCTTCTATCCAGATGCTATAGGCTATTTCAGCTCAAGCATACCGGACGAATGGGGCGAAGAAGCGATGCCTGTTGAAGAGAGCGCCAACATGATCATCCTGGCTTATTCGTACTTCATGGCTACTAACAACACTGAGTATCTGGCAACGCACTTTGATATACTCAAGCGATGGACAGTCTACGTGATTGAAAAGAGCCTATATCCTGAACATCAGACTACTACAGGTAAGTCATGTTCTAAAGTAACAACGCGCACAGACCCATATTGACGAGACCAAAGATGATTTTAACGATCCCATCGCCAATAATACTAACCTCGCGATAAAAGGTATCGTGGCCATAAACTGCATGGGTGGTATTGCCTCAGCTCTCGGAGATATCACACTAGCGACCAGATATGTAACCTTAGCATACGACTACTACGAGCTCTGGGCCGCCTCATCTATCGATACCACCAATACCCATACCCTCCTAGCTTATCAGCTCCCCAATTCATACAGCATTCTCTATAACATTTATCCGGCTCTCTTGTTCAACCTCCGCTCAATCCCCAAGTCCCTCTTCCTCATGGAATCAGCCTTCTACCCCACTGTCGCCCAAGAATACGGCGTGCCTCTCGATAATAGACATCTGTGGACAAAGAGTGATTGGGAGATGTGGGCCGCAGCTACGAGCCTACCCCAGACGAGAGCTTTGTTTGTGAAATCGCTTGCAAAGTGGATCAATGAAACAGTTACAGACAAGGCGCTTACCGATCATTACATGACGACGGGGGATGGAAACTATACAGACTATCCGTTTATCGCGAGACCAGTTGTTGGAGGGCATTTTTCGCTACTAGCCATGGGAATGTTTGGAAGACATGGTGTTCCGAGTGAAAGAAACTATCGAGAGAGGTGAGCACTACTATCAATGTGTAGTGGGATATATCGAGCTATAATAGGGATGTGGTTTGTGGGGGCTGAGTGTAAGAAGATATTCGATTACGGTTGTTCCAGCAACCAGGTTAGTGTCTAGAGGGATTACTTGTTTCTTAGAGCTGTACCCTAGCTATGCGACACCCTGACGTTTACGCTATGTCTCACGCCAACTTGATACAGAATATCTGACGGTGTGTAGCTGTAATGCATAGTGTCCATATAGTACCACTGATGAATAGCGGGCTTGTTTGTATGTCATCACGTCACACTGCTTGATGTAGCTTACTCTGGATCGCTACGATGATGCCATGTTTTTGGATTCATTGCGTCTGTGCGCTTATGGAATACTTCCTTCTAATCCATGCATTCCCCTCTTCTCGAGTCATGCATTCGAACATTCCTTCATGTTTTATCAGGCCCACAGGAGTGTCTTCCCTGTCTGAAAATCGAGAACAGGAGCATAATCGGACATTTCTGTGCAAATCCATCCTGTTATTAAGGACATGAGGAAGGGAAATTTCAATGTGGTGTTGGTCAAGGTAGATGAAGGATACAGGCGTCTTGATCGTTTGCGGCGTTCACCACTAACGATCACGCTCCTTGAGCTCCTCTGCAACAGCCTTGAGACCCTTCTCATGCTCTTTCTGAATCTGATCCCAGTACTGTGCCCAGACACGTAATTGTGAGTCGTCCTGGCCTACGCCAGCCTCGGTACCCATCTGCTTGTTGATTTGAATGGACACTTTGAGCACACCCTTAGCACCCTCGTGAATCTTCTCAATCTCCTGCTTAACGGCGTTCTCCTTGGGCTTGACGGCAAGTACAATGCGGAAATTCTCTGCAAGCGAATCCAGGCGCGAGCGTACCTGGTCTGGTGCGATTACCATGAGCTTCGTGAGCATAAGGTTGCATAGGATTCGGATGTCGTGCTCGTCAGTGATACCAGCGACGATGCGGTCGAAGAAGTCTGAGACCTCGATGGGTGATAACCGTGCAAAAGCCTTCTCAAGAAGAGCGTAGAGAGTCTCGTAAGCGCTCTTGCGGATCTCTAGGCCGTCGTCGACCTTGAGCTTGAAAGGACCCATTTGAACCTCACGGATAAGCTCGGGTTTGATGACGGTCTCCTTCATAGCCAGTGGAAGCAGCTGGTCTAGCGCAGGTAAAATGATGTCGGGTTTGTTGTGCATGGCAGAGTTGAATGTCATAAGAGCTAGACGACGGTTCTCAAGATCCGGCTCGTTAAGCATCTGTACCAGCATAGGTACGACAATCGGTTTGAGGTATTCGTCATAAGCTTCGTCGGTGTCGGTGAAGGTGTATCGTAGAGCAGAAATGACCATAGCACGTAAGCTTCCTTTGCGGTCGTTCAAGAACGCCTAGATTACTGGTTAGCTGTTGAAGACACATATAGGAAGTAGACCTTACCTGAAGTTGAGGAAGATGAGTCTTGGGATCGATGATGGTAAGTCTGCCAATACATTCTGCACCGATAGCTTTATTGTCCTCGAGTTGAGAAGCAACGACAAGATTCTGCCAAAGTGTTGATGCATACGGAATGATCTCCGACTCTGTATCGTCGTGCTGAAGGATTTCCTTGATGGAGTGTAGGAAGAGATACTGCGGAGAAGAGGGTTGTCCCATAGTTGACAGGATAACGGGAAGATACTTGCTGACGCTTCCAGCACCTGCTCGGCCAAGCGCGACAGCAGCCGCAAGTGGCACGTTCTCGGACTTAGTAGAAAAGTACTTGATGAATAGTTTCGGATCGACGGTAGATTGAGCGCCTAGGCGCAACGCAGACTCTCCAAGCACAACAAGAGCAAGACACTTTCGCTTGTCGTCCTGAGCAGTCTCAAGCTCGGTGATGAATTGCTCGAGCTTCACGCCAACACTGTCGCCGCCATATACGAGCAGGTTACCGATGACCTTGCCGACAACCTCTGGATGCCCAGATACACCAACCTGTTGTAGCAGCGCTTGCATTAAGGCTTGTCCAGCGCGTTGCTCGCCGATAATACGCACTAGCTTGAGAAGTGCATCTAACGGCGTACCGCTTATTGAGCCTTGAGCAACTTGGCAAAGAGCCCCGTTGAGGTTGGATGTCATTGTGGTTTGCGCATCATCCTTGACGAACGTAGCCAGGATGATAAGAGCCGGGCCTAGGAGATGAAGGTCACTAGCGTTGAGCAGCGGTAGCAGCATCTCCACCACCTGCGCTTTGGTCTGGCTATCGAGCTGGCTCCGCGACAGCGAGTTCAGTGCGAGAGTACGGAGGGCGCTCAGACTGGCACCACGCAATACACGACTGGCCTTCCGCAGTTGCGCAGCCAGTTCCAGTGCGACATTCTGTACCCACTCGGCTGACAACTCGTTTTGCGCCTTGGTATGGGCAGCAACCGAATCAACAGCACGTACGGAAGCGAGCCGTGTGAGCTCGTTCTTCAGGCGGTCCGCTAAAAGTTCAAGTCCAGACGTTCGCTTCTGTGATGAAAGGAGGCCCTGCTCGCCAGAGCTCCTACCAAGTAACAGTCCCAGAACGTGGATAGCACTCCGTCGAACTTCAACGTCGGCGTCATTCGCTGATATCCGGTTGAACAGCGCATCAAATAGTTGCTCCAGATGCTGCTGGTTCTCCGTTCCGGATGTGGCTGCTCGGGGAGGTGTGAGCGCCTTGATAACTTGTTCTGTTGCTGCGAGAGCCTCTATAGACAATTTGCTGTATTTGTCCTTGACCCCAAGAAGAAGCGCGTCGATGATGGACGCCACATACGGCTGAATGGACTTGGAAGGATGAGTGTCGGCAATGGCTCCTATCAGCTGCAATGCTTGAGTGCGCAAACTATTGGCGGTGGCGGAAGCACTGCTTGTGGTGCCCCCAGCAACCTTGGCAGCTTCTACTACAGGGCCGATGAGTTGGTTCAGATAACCATCCAGACCACCACGCTGGGTGATAACGATGTCCTTGATTAGAGAGATGCATGCCTGTTTAGTAGTGGGCGGGCATGATGACTGCTTCAGAAGCTGCGCAATGCCCTTGACGATGTCCGGGCTGAGCTTGGCTAAGCTGGCCCGGGGACCGACTGGAGGTGTACTAGCTGGTGCTGGTGAAGCATAGCCCATGGACAAAGATGAGCTAGCCTGCAGGTCAAACATGCTGGCATCACTACCACCACGGCGACGCTTCTTGCTTGGCGGTGGTAGCATCATCCCGCTTTGATGAATTTCATCCGAGAATTTGACAGGCGAGGGGCCGTCACCCGACTTCTTGATGAGGTTGGATAGCGTGGCCATGACTTCCAGACGGACGTTGTCCTCCCGCTCTCTGAATCTCGTTATGAGTGCTGGGGCAACCCGCTCATAAAGGGTTCCGTCTTCGAGAAGATCGCCATTGCTTCGCGTAGAAATCAGAGTGTACAGCACCTTGGCTGCACACCTACGGACCTTCCAGCTCGCGTCCTCATCATCATCGTAGCCTGTCTCTTCTTCAAAGTCTTCACCCTCCAGCGCATCTTCTTCGTCACTCGGCATGTCGTCGTCATCTTCATCATCGTCTTGCGCGAGGTTCGGATCGTATTTGAGATAGCGTGTTGCTGCTTCGATGGCTTCGTTGGTGTACATGCGCATGTCCTGCGAGCAAGAGGCAAGGAAGCCATCTAAAGCGATAAGGGCGGCTTCCAGCACCTCGTCGATTTCGGGGTCACGTTCACCTTCGTCGTCCGAGACGTCCATCTCTTCGTCTTGCTCTTGTGTGCTCAATGCGCTGAGGACAAAAGGCGCCAGTGTCTTCAGGTAGGGACCGAACTTGCGTGGAATGGAACGGGCCATGGATCCTAGAATGGTGATGTACAGTTTCCGCTTGCTGCGAGTGATATGGGGATCACGTAGAAGTTCGATGACCTTTGAAAGGAAATTGCTCAGTAGCTGGTCTGAAAAGTAGCCAGCCAATACCGAGACGGCTGTGACGGACTTCTTCTTCATCATGGAACTTGCTCGGTCGTTCTCGAGGATTGCAAAAGTAATCTGCTGCAGTGCTTGGATTTCCACATCCTGCAACATGGAACCAAAGCACCGACCGACTTCGATGAGAACATCGAGGGCGTTGCTGTCTGAGCCCTTTTCCAGATCGTCCTGCAACATGCCCTTGGGCGGCTGAGTCAAGCCCTGCTGGGCTGGTGGTATGACATTGTATCCGATCAGACGCGGAATCAGGACCCTGCTGATGGCGCTGTATGCATCTAGTACCGACTTGCTGCGCGCAGCGCCGGCGGTGGGACGGGGGAGTGATATGACGACTTCTCGCAGGGCCATGGCGGGTATGGACTGGTCGACTGTGTTGCCTGTGGGGAGAGTAGAGAGCTTGTCGATCATGACAGGCAGCGTCTTGTCATTGATCCTGTTGACAAAGGGCCCCAGACACTTGAGGGCTTGGTTCTGAACCTCGCCATTGGTGTCGACCAGTGTTGTGAGCAGTCCCTCGACCGTCTTTGCCGAGACAACATCATCGTGGAGGAGCAGGCCAGGATGCGCTACTTGGAGGATGTCGTGTAGGTCGCTCAAGGCCATGAAGCGGAAATCGGGGTCATCGTCGGCGAATCGGGGAAGCAGCTGGGCTACGTTATGGGCGGTCGGGTTGGGCGGGACCGAAGAGGGCGCCATGGCTGGTGTTTAGAAGGCTTGCAGCCCTTCGCAGGTCTGGTATCACAAAGGTGAGCCCACAGTCTAGGGCGCGTGCAGTGTGGCGGGGCAGCTATGGTGGGGTTGAGGTTGCAGGGCAGCTCCAAAGTCGCAGTGGAGAGGTCGGCGAGTGAGAGACAAAAAGAAAAGCTGGTGAGAGAGCTTTGGTTTATTGTGCGAGGCGAGGTACCCGTGGGCCGGTTTGGAAGAGAAAGAGCGCGATGGAAGGTTTTGGACAATTGTTGCCTGCGCGTTGCTTTCGAGAGCTCCAGCCTACGCACGGCCTCTGTGACTTCGCAGGGGACCTTGAGCTTCCCAACATGGTAAAAGTATGGCACTGTTTTACTCTTCTATGCTTGCTGGACAAAGCCTGTAGTGAAGCGTATATATACGTGCTTTGTATGCAATACTTAGACAGCTACGGCGTGTCTTAACACTGCCTACTCGGACAATTGCTGCTTCGGACTGACTGGAGACACAGCTCGCTCCAACCAGCACAACAAAGGCCAACGAGCGTACACACGTCAAAGCTTCATGCATTCCGTCTACAGACCGTAAAAGTGTCGGATCAAACATGTCGAGGACCACACGTGATGCAAGAACGCGAGCTAGACCTCGGGAGCAGGGGCCACATTGTGCACTGTTCCGGTGACGTACCGATAATTCTCACGGCCTGACGTGATCTTCCTCTTGCGCGCATCTCAACTCCGATTCTGCCACCAATTGCCCATCGCGAGCTTCAATTGATCCATCTACAGCTTCACCATGTCTTTCATCAGGTCTTCCGCACTACGCGCCTCCTCATTAGCTCGCGCTGCCCGCCCAGCGAGGTATATCCGCACTGCCGAGCTCCAGCCATGGCAACGAGCTGTCCAACGCCGAACATATGCCAGCGGCCACGGTCCCGAGGGCGATGCTAAGAGCAGCGATGTCCCATGGTATGTCAAATTACTTTCCGATGATTCAGGCGTGCGCGAGCGTGGACATGCGGCGTATATCTTGGTTGGAATAGTGTACAGCTTCTGAATAGAGCATGGGGTGTGTGTGTGGGAGTACTATTCCGTTTTTGTAAAGCAACCAGATTGCCTACTTCTTATATCAAGTCTTCGATACACACTTGATGCTAATCGGATCTTCAGGATGGCCGCCGCCGTAGTTGGCACCGCTGTTGGTCTCTACACTGTCGTAAACCAAGATACAAACCACGGCGCCGAACACCACCCTCTCGGCGACCCACATGGCGAGGGCGGTGCCCAAAAGACTGGTACCGGATCTACCGTAGGCGAGGAGAACAAGCAGGATGAGCCTGAGGAGGAGACCAAGGACGAATCCAAGGAAGAGTCCAAGGACGAATCTAAGGAGGAGCCAAAGAGCGACCAGCAGGACCCATCCAAGCCCACCAAGGAGAACAGCGAGGAGAAGGACACGCAATCTCCTGACCAATCTGACAAGGTCAGTATAGCTGCAGGGTGAATGTTGATGGCATGCTAACTGGTACAGCCCGATCCCCGTAAGGAGGAGACCAAGAGCCAGAACGAGATGTCAGGCAAGCAAAAGGGACTGTCCAACGACAACACCGAACACACCTCGCAGATTTCCAAGCAACCCGAGAAGAGCAAGAAGGGCGAGGGTGTTGCTGAGACTGCTAAGCTACAAGGAACTGTCTCTACCGAGCGTCCTGGTGCGGAGAACAAGGAGGAGCGTGGAAAGGCTCAACAGGACAAGGACGCATAGATTATACCGTCGTCTCCATCCGATTCACCTCGATCGCCATAATACCTCCACGGTGCCGCATACCCGCTGCCCTTGTATAGCCTCGAATCAGATCAATTGATCATTTCATACTTGATTGTGTCGTGGGACTTCACTAGCAGCGTCGGAGTTTTTTCAAAGTCCAACCACAATATCCACCGGTAATTTGTTCAAGATTACTGGAATGCTGTTAGCGTAATTGTAATGCTGTTGCCATGATGCAAGCGTCGTTGGCTTGAAACAAATCGACGGTTCGACCCGCTATGTCTGCGCCACTGAGGCTGTGCTCATCATGTTCAGTCTGCATCGTTTCCACTTATGAACAATATTTGTCTAGATGCAGGAGAGTGTCCATCGGCGCGACCCAACAATGGTCATCGAAAACGCGTAGTGGAGGAGGCAGCCTCATGATTGGTTAGAGGATCTGGGCCGAGCCACCCGTAAGCGCCCGCCATCTCGCTCCGCGACGCTGTCACACCTCAACTCCAGCCTCGATTGGCCAAGCCCGCGCCTCACTGCATGTCTAAAAAGAGGGCCATCTTACGGCGGGAGCTCTACGAATCTCCATTCACTATGCTGCTCGCCTACGACATGAGGCAGGGCCAAGAGCCAACCGGAGCGCAAGGCGGCTCTGATGCAGGGCTGGCTTTCTTTGGACCTCGTACTTGTGCATGTACCGACTTGACGTGCAGGCCTTTGACCTGATATCAGACCTCCTGGCCCCCGGCTTGATCATCTTCTATAATCCAGCTTACCTTTGGACAACTCACAACTAACTGTGCCACCGGATATTGCCGCTGGCTCTGCACTCAAAGTCAATAGCGACTTCACATACGATACAGCTTATCTCTCGACGCCCCGATTGCAGGCATACGTTTTCCGTGAACCAACGCGCATCATGGATCCGCGACAGCATGGACACAGCCAGCAGCTTCAGCCTAAAATGACCTCCCGACAACACAACAGGTTTTCATGGCAGCAACCTCTCGAAGAAGATGCTCCGGCCTACCCACAATCGCAACAACAAACTCCACAGCATCAGCATCAGCCATACCAGCAGCCATACCAGCAGCCGGCACAGCTTCAGCAATCCCAAGTTAGCACTGATGCATCGAGGCACTTCTCCTATGCGCAAACACCTGCGGAGATGCGCGCCTTTGTATATACATCTTCGCCAAATGATCCTCCTATGCCACAGTCGATACCAATATCACTGCCAACATCGCCAGTGGGATACACACCTATCGATCCGCGCCCGCAATCGATGCTCGATGCGCAGCTTCCGGTCGTTCCGCCCCAATCCCAATCGGCTTACACGCCGTCGTCTTACGCGCAGGACGTTAAACCTCCAGTCTCTCCCGTCTCGCCTCAGCATACATCGCAAACGCAACATTTCTCGCCCGTCTCTCCGATACCACAGCCACAACCTAATGAACAGAGATCCGAAGTTGATACACAACAAAGCAGACACGCGCGGCAGATGAGCAATCTGTCCCCCATCAACACAAACATCCGGACGTATGCCATGCCTCCCATCCCTCCTACACCACCTTCAGGTACACATCAGACCTCGCCATTACCGCACAAGACACCAATCACTCCTGTCTCTGCCAATTCAATGCACAAAGACCAGCCACGGATCGATCCAACATCTCCCACGAACCGAATATCGCCATACCCAAACGAGCCCTACTCACCGCACGGCTTTACATCAGGTCAAAACAACAACTTCCATGCGGTCTTCTCTCCTGATGCTGCACATGGTCCCAACGGACTGGATTTTGCTGCACACCAACCAGGCCAAATTTCGCATCCGAATATGGAACTCGAGAAATCAAAAGAATGGTCGAACGGTCTCTGTGCGTGCAGTCCGGATCCTTCAACCTGTCTGACGGGTCTCTTTTGTCCTTGCATTCTTTACGGCCGTACATCGTACCGCCTTTCTCAAAAATCTGCAAAGAAAGACCCCACAGACATGCTCGGGCATAGCTCCACTAATGGACACTGTATAGTTATGGGATTGTCATGCGGACTATGGTGGCTGTTTCCCATGCTACAACGAACACGTATACGGCGTGCGTATAAGCTCGATGGCAGTTTTGGAAGCGATCTGCTCAAGGGTTGTTGCTGCTGTTGCTGTGTCACGGTACAGAATGAGAGGGAGGTCAAACACAGAGAGGAGGTTAGCAGACGGTGGGCCGGTCCGGCGAGTACAGATGCTTACACGAGGACTGGAGGCATGGTGTACAAGCCACAACAATAGAGAATGAGCATGTAGACCTTGCATTTGTAGTTTCTTTTCATTCAATGATACCCACGGTCCTTTTGTTGTGCTACAAGCACATCTTAGATGATTTGTCGTAAACAAGCATGTGCGTACAGTGCCCAGTCATGTGTTCCGTGCAATAGTTATTACCACTGACGCCTTCACAGCAGAGTACAAGCGCGTCCGCCTATATCCATTGCTTTGCAGAGCTTGCTTTATGTGCCTCGCCATCCTTCCTCTGCTGTATGTTGCCTGCATGCATCTCACCGGCTATCCCACCTGCCTCCCTTGAACCCTTCATCGGCCACGACGCCTAACGCTGCACAATCATTGCACATACCTGGACATCTGATCGTCCGCCTTTTAACGTTGTAAAACCTACAAACTGTTTCGGGAACGCCGTCGTCGATAGTGTGACAACGTATAATTCGTGCCATCGGAGTGTGTTCGTGGTTGCAGTCTTTGTACTGAGTCCAAAGTCTTTGACACATATCCTGAGTAGGGCTGTAGAGCTGAACGTATGACTTCGAGTATGACGATTTGAGCTTGTTGCTTTGAGATATATTGATGCTTTTGGTGCTATGTTCCTGCAGCGCTTGCAGATATGTGCTTTGGGACTTGAGAGTAGGTATGAGGATTAATATACTTCCTTACTGAGAAACCGTTTTGTAGGCATGGTTTATACATTCACGACTTAGCCAATCGAATTCCCGTCTTAGACTGATGAACTCCTCGTACTGTGAGCTCGCTCATTCACGTCTACAAGTGTTGACATTGACAAGTATGTCTGTTATACTCTTCTGCAAATAGACAAGGCGGTTGCGTGTGTCTGAATGGGACGTGGCAGAGGCTGGTTAGCTGGATGAAGCAAGAGAGCTCAAAGTATCTTGTTTATGAATCTAGTGTCATGTGCTTCACCGACTTGTAGGTAATCACTTACTCCGGTGATCGACCTATGAGCTGGCCGCCTTGGCCTTGAGCTCCTCCAGCTGCTTCTTAGCTGCCCACTGCTTCTCCACGTTGATCTTTTCCAGTATCTTGTCTGCGCCCTTTTCGATCAAGACCTTCGCAACCTCTTGTCCCATCTCTTCTGCTTCTTCTGCTGTTCGAACTTTTCGTGCTGCCTGGTACTCAACAAATTCTTTGCCATCTACACTGACTACCATGGCACTCAACACCAGTTCTTGGTCGTCGATATCTGGCTCTTCCTCTTCTACTGCATTTCCGTGTTTGTCGTAGTCTTTTGCTGGTTGGGTACCGATTGCGAGGCCCTTGCCGCCTCTCCATGATGTCTCAACACCGATAGGCACGCTGCAGCCTCCTTCCAAGGTGCGTAGTAGCGCTCGTTCGGCCGAACAGGCTCTTGTTGTCCGCTCGCATCGGATGCCGCTCATGATGTCCTTCATGGCCTTGTCGTTTTTCCTGATCTCAATGCCCAGAGCACCCTGACCAACCGCATGCAACATACCTCCGCTCGTGCTACTCAGATATTGTGTGATTCTATTATCGAGCCCCATTCTCTTCAAGCCGGCTGCAGCAAGAATGATGGCCGAGTATGGCGAATCTTCGGCATCCAGCTTTGCCAGCCTCGTTCCGACATTGCCTCTGAGATCGGCAAACTTCAAGTGTGGGTATAGTTTTCTTAACGTAGCGGCTCGTCGTACAGATGACGTACCAATGGTAGCACCTTGAGGGAGGGTCGCTAGTGTAGTCTCCTTCGGCAGACGAGGGGAGATCAAGAGGGCATCGCGGGGATCTTCGCGTTCGAGGATGGCGCCGATCTCGAGGTGATCTGGCAGCTGCGTTGGCATATCTATGCTGACTGTTAGTCTGCCCTATTACGCTCTTTTAGTATCTGAGTTCGATGAAGTACCCTTTAAACAGTGTACGATGATGTCCAGATCGCCAGACTCCAGCATGCTCTCCAGTTCACCTGTCCACAGACTCTTCGCGTTCTCGCCCTGGCTCAATTGCTGCAGGGGTGTGATCTTGTCCCTATCACCCTGCACCACAACAGGGCAGATGTTGAAGGTCCGGTCCGGGTAGGCATCTTTCAAGCTTCTCTCGACCGCGCGGGCTTGAATTTGGGCGAGTACCGAGTTGCGCGTGCCAATGTTGATAGGGGGAAATTGCGTGCTGGCCGATGTGTTGAGGCCTTCTGGATTGGGATGAGATGGTCCCTGGATATCTGCAGCTGTTGCGGAAGCCATGGTGGATTGCGTATACGTCAAAAGAGTGGCGTGGTGTTGCAATGATTACTAGGAAAAGATCTGGCTGGAGATCTGGCGGGGTGTGTGGGGCATCATCAACGTCATATTTACCGCGGCCTAGCATTAGCGTCAGGTACACTCTTCAGTTGACGGGCATGTTGACCTGTCAAAGACGATCATACATGGGGTATAGCAAGCTTCCAAAATCTTGAAACACGATTCAAAATGAACAAGTACCGTTTCGCAGGGCCAACACACGGTATAGTAACCTCAAAAGATGTTGGTTTGAAGTCTTTTTAACATTGATGCATTATCTATTGCTACAGCGGCAGTTTGCCTACAATGAATCTAGTCATTGAAGAGTGTGTTTACTTGTCTCCAGTGTTGTGGAGAGAGTTGGGGAGAGCTACATCGTCGTCAGCATCGCGGCATTATTGGACAGCTGGAGGACCTTTACCTCGCTCAACTGACTCAGGAACGATCTCCTGGATCTTCTTGGGCACGACCGAGTCCTCGCCATCGTTAAGAGCGTGGGTCTTGCTTGTAGATTGGCTGTTGGGGTTGCTGCCAGTGGGGTGGACCTACGGTCATATTAGCGAGCGTCAAGCCGCAATGTACAGATGTTGTGGACTTACACTCTCTGGCAGGCTCTCCTCGAGGCCCTTCGGGGCAGCCTCTTGGACTTTGTTTGGGACAGCGCTCTGTCCAGTGGCGTGCGAGGCACCCTGTCCGTGCTGGTTGGTTGAAGACATTCTGATGGAAGTTTGCTTGAAAAGGTGTGATTGTTGGATGAAAGGTCTGGAGATGGTGCGGAGTTGAGTAGTGAAAGGCATGTTTGGGATGCAAGTCGAATGGTATTTGAATGATTCTGATGTAGGGCCTGATTACAGCAGTTTATGTACGTATCAATGCTGATGTAACGCTTGTGGTGACGCCTCTAAGCCTGGGTCTTACCTGCACTCCAAACAACGCGTCATGACCGTGTAGTTCATATTGCTTCTCGTCCCATCGCTAGTGGGATTCTGCAGAATTGTGGATTATTATCCATGGCTGCAGCCTGAAATGCCACATATGGTGATTTAGGTATCGCGTGCGGAGCGGTCAGCACAAGATGATGCCGTCACGATGAGGCGTAGAGCGACTCCGCGGCGAGCTTCACGGGGGCGAGAAGCCACATTACAATAGACGAACGTGATCATCGTAGATGTCGACATACATGTTTGCCTCCGACGTACCGACTTCCAGGGTCCGAGGAGCTATACGAACAAGTTTATGTAACGTTAGTCTGCGGTCGGTCTCTGAATGGCCCGATCGCGCTCCCTGCGTCCCTCTTCGGATTCTCGTATACTCGACACGCCACAACAAACCATTCCACGTTAGGTTCGTGTCATATGTAACCTGTGGTCTGGGCAACTGTCGTCATCACGTCCTCTTGCAAGATCTAGAGGAACGTAGATGCCTCGTGAACATGCGATTCGACCTTCTCAAAACATCAATTACAGAACGATGGGCATTTCCTTGCTTCAACCTTTGCTTTTTTTGCGAAAGACCTACGTATGGTGTTTCCAGCCCTAGATTGTTTACCTCATTAATACGGGAAGCCGAAGAACTGCGCAGACGCAAGCAAAACTACAATGAGTAAGGCAAGATATGCTACAGATTGTCAAAATGTCAATGATTGCAATCGTGCGTGGTGGATCGATCATTAGTGAAAGTATATGTTATTCCAGGTTTAATCATTACAGCTTTGCCCTGACCCAGCTTTCGAGTACTTTTTGACTTCCCGTGCCCGAGTCACCCTTGTATCCCAGTATTCGTTCGAAGATCATCTCGTCGTGGCACGCTTTTGGTGTAACTACTGTAGTAACTAGTCCACCTTTGCTACCAAAACCTTGTGTGAATTTCTTCGCAAATGCCTCGATGCCATCCTTTAGGATTTCGTTGTCGCCCGCCCATATCAAGACTTCTTCTACGACATCGGCAACAGGCTCCCACCATTCTGGAGCTGCTAGAACAGGCTCGTTGTAGAAATCGCCGGCAAATGGAGAGTCGGAGCCTAGGAATGCTGATGCCCAACGAGAGAGGGTTCGCGCGTCAAACATATCACGTTGCGCGTTTGTGACAAATGCTGGTGTATTGGTTTGTGTCAAAGAGCACCACGGCGAAATGAGCAGTACCGCGTGAATCTTGGACGGAATGGATAACGAGGCGATCTCAGGATGTGGGTGTGCGAGGTGCGAGAGCAGGCCAAGTACAAGATTGCCGCCTGCGGAGTCGCCGCCCAATATCAGATCGGAAGGGTTACGGCCTTCTGTATGCACAAGGTAATCAAGTAGCTCGACTGCTTGCTTCAGCTGGCTGGGATACCTTGCCTCGGGTGCGAGGTCGTATGCGAGGAGGAGTGCGGATATATCGGGACCGAGGGACTTTTGGAAGTCGTCGAGCCACAGCATATGACCTGCAGTGCAGGGCGTTACATAGCCGCCACCTATTCATGTTAGTTGGATTTTACCAATTCTGAGCGTCCCGTCTTGCCATTAAAGTATACGAAAATCGTCTTCGCACTCCTACTACCCAGCCAATGCGCCTGTGTTCCACTAGGTAGCTTGATGCTATCAGGTACGAACTTGTATTTCTCCGCATGCTGCATGTATGTGGGAGTTGACGATGCGCCGTTCGTGTACCGGTCTTGCGCAAGATCGAGGTTCCCTAGGTTGGTTCGGAACATGGCAAGCATGACATCTTTGAAGTACGTGTTGGACCCATTTTCGCCTTTGAATGGTGATGTGACGGAGCGTTGGAGAGCTGAGCCCACTGTTGGCAAGATTAGTGTTTGTTTTTGAGAAGATGACGTAGCGCATACTGGCTTTGAGAGTCGCCGAAGCGATGCCCAGTTTGCTTACATTCTGATCTGCCATGGTGTCGTTGTGATGGTACATGCGATGCGAACAGGACGCTCCCACCATCATCAACAACAACAACGATTCAGCTAGCTACCCCATGGTGCAAGTGGAGATGCAGACTAATCGTGCAGGTGCGGAGGGCATTATCCGATGAGCATCCCGAGGTTGGCGATAGTCCCCGCAATCGCTCCTCGGTTACCCCGTACTATGCCCCATGAGCTCTAACCTGCAGCTCGCAAAAGTCATCGCTGCTGTAGTGTCCCAGCTCATGACTCGGGAGAATCCTGCCACCGGGGCTGCCCATTCTCCTCCTGAATCGCAACCCACACATCCATGATCAGCATGGCGTCGCCGGCGGAGGCAGATACACCCGAAGGGGCCCCTAGAGATGATGGCTCGGGCGATGGTCAGCCCAACAAAAAGCGCAGGACTGGCCCCAATTCGCGTGGCGTGGCCAATCTCACGCCTGAACAGCTTGCCCGCAAGCGCGCAAACGACCGCGAAGCTCAACGTGCCATTCGAGAGCGCACCAAGAACCAGATCGATCGCCTCAATCAGCGCATCCGGGACCTGGAGAGTCAGCAGCCGTACCATGACCTGCAAGTCGTCCTCCGCGAGAAAGAGGCGGTCCAGGCGGAGAACGCAGATATCAGGAAGAGGCTGGAGAGCGTCCTGAGCATCATCCAGCCCATCGTTCGTGCCACGGGCGGTCTCAATGGCATGTTGACAAGGCACTTCGCAAGGAATCAAGCTGACGATACGTAGAACTGGCAGCCGCCGCCGAACGGTCGCCCCTTCCCATCCACCCTCACCAACAGCGCGACGCGCCTGTGCAACCTGCCGAACCACGACAGTTCCACATTGCCTCGCACGAGCTATCCACGGCCTCACCCCAGAACGGCGTGCATTCACCGAGCGTGACCGAGGGAGGAAGAGCTTGGCTGTATCCCAGCGATGCGCCAAACAGCCACCTGCGCCGCTACTCCAACGGCAGCCCCGGTCCCCATTTCGAGCAGTCGCGAACGCCCCATCTGCAGACTGAGATGCCCTTCGACGAACGTCTGGGCGTGGATTTTATACTCGACAACGGGCAAAGGAGAGCTGTCGATCCAAACCTGCCTCCACCGCAGCAGCCGCGACCCAGCAATGTGAGCAGCAGCCAGCATGCCATGTATGCGCCGAGCATGGTTGCGCACCTCACACTCCCTCGAAACCTTCCGGCAACATGTCCCCTGGATGTCATATTGCTCGACTTCCTCCAAGATCGACAAAATCGCGCTGCCGAGGGTGTGCCCATGAAGACACTAGTCGGACCACAGTACCCAAACTTCACCTCACTAGCGTATCCCGACCGTGTAGTTGATGCGCATCCGCTGTCAAAGCTGTTCACGGACATTCTACGCACATTTCCAGACATCTGCGGTAGGCCAGAGCAGGTTGCGATAGTCTTCATCATGTTCCTGGTCATGCGCTGGCAGATTGAACCTACGCAGGAAAACTATGATCGGTTGCCGCACTGGGTCACACTACGACCTTCTCAGCTGTTCACTGCCCACGCTTTGTGGATTGATCATCTTCCATGGTACGTACCAATCGCTGCTCTGAACTGTTTGGAAAGAGAGTACGGCTAACCTACTCCAGGCCTCGCCTTCGCGACAGACTCGTCACTAGCCAACCGCCCGTATCTTTCGAGAACTTCTTCATTCCCTTCACAACTACCATCTCGCTGAATTGGCCTTATGAGCCTCGCGACTGTCTCCTCCCGGCCTCAAAAGTTCACACCCACACCCTCTCGACAGCCTCGTCCGTATCCGTGTCCTCGCCTTTCTCCACACATGTAAACGCCGGCTCGCCGCAAGACCCTTCGACCCCGCAGCCCCCTGCTGCGAACAAGTCCGCTGGTATCACATCCATAGGCCCGCTGCCCAAGGAAGATGATCAATGGCTCATCAACCCGGCTTTCGAAACGCACCTCCGTGATCTGAACAACTGGACACTGGGCCCAAGCTTCAGAGGCAACTTTCCCGCATTTGCTGATTGCGTGAAGATCAAAGAGGGAAGGTGATGAGCAATGTAGATGTTATAATGCGTCGCGGTCAAGCGCTGACGTGTGGGTCAGGAAGGGTATTTATTTGGTATTGCATGTATATTTTATTGTATCATTGGAGGGTAATGAGGCGGCTCTATTGTGTATTAACAAGCATTTGGTATTGTATTTCTTCCGACGGTATACGCCTGGGCAGGCAGCACCGAGAAGCAGGCGGTGGGTGCTGGTGACAGGTGGCTTAGCATCATATTGGTATCATAACGACAACACGAAATTTATACCAACATCATCTTAACCCCGAGTTCGCCTGGTCTCTAATTGGTGAAGACGTGTGCTGGCCCCGCTTTTGTTTAGCAACAATGCCAACTCATCAGACCAACTGCCCCAAATTATTCGACCTTCCCTTCGCCGCAGCTGATACACCTTCAAACATACCCAGTATCCATACCATACGTCTTCTCACTATGGCTGTTCCTACACCAATCCGCGACCCTCTGCTGCAGCACATGTTCGCATATCTCAACCCTCGCCGCGATGAACTCCCCTCCCACATCGTTGAGACCATCGCTGGTGAGTAGCTCCCACTTCTTCAAATTCAAATAATTGATAAACCATGTTCAGGAAATCTCACATTTCTGGTGAAATACACTGCCGGTCCTAGTGTCCGCGCTTCCCAGATCTCAATTTCCGTTATCGACGTCCGTGGACCCAACAACAGTGAAGTCGGCCACAAGGCCACAGTCTGTATTCACGACGGCCCAGGCAAGTTTACAGTCGTGATGTGGAAGCAGGTAAATTGGGGTCAAAATGTCGTAATCGGACTGGGAGAGAAAGTGGACAAGGCTATCAAAGATATCCTGGCGAAGGAAGGAAATGACGGATATGGTGACTTCGAGGGCTAGCAAGTAATTTGATCGATGCTCTCTTGTTGGACAAGAAGTTCTTGGAAGAAACTTGTTAGCCGACTACGTGAAGCTTCGCTTCTATCACCGTTCTCTCGACCTGGTGTCAGTTCATCTACAATAGGCTGTAAATACCGGCTAGCGATAGCATGAAGGATTCGCATCACGTATCAGTGCCTAGGAAGAAGAGAAGGTATGGGAACAGACATAGAAGCTCATCTGGAAAGCCTCAAGGCCGTATACCGGTACTTCACCACCAACTTAGATTCTTACAGTGACATATACTTCCCTCTTGGCGCGCAGATACTCCGCCGGGCCCACTGTTTCCACCAGGACAATAGGAACGACGTTCTCAACGATGATCAGTTCATCATCTCCACTGTTGAAATATGCCTATTTCGCGCAGTAAATCGACCCAATATGACCATTGAATTTCCCGAACAGCGACTCTACGACCTCTACAGCCTTACTGCGATGAATGCTCCAAGAATTCTACCAACGGCGCATCGTCATTACAAGAAAGACGCTTGTTCATGATACTTTGTGGTATGTACTTGATCCATCCACTTCATCCCAGTCATAACCTGGCCAACATGCAAAGAGAACGTATCTAGCCAGCCTTCATCTTCCGATGATCCCCAATCACCTACGGCAGAGCGATTTCCCCACCAGACATCTCCGACGGCTCTCAAAACCGGTATTCTTGAATAAAGGGATATAAGGATCAGCCGCCTTGGGTGTGTTCGTCAACGAAGCGGGATGAACACACACAGTTATGTGCTGCTGTGTGAACAAGGACGATGAAAATGGCATGGTAGAAGTTTTGATCAAGAGCGTGATAGGGTACTAGAGAGTTTTTCAGAGGTGAAAGGGGAGAAAGTGTGTTAGCAAGACAGGAAAACGCAAGGTTAGCAACAGGTGCTATTATCAAAGGATCTGGAGACAGAGAGGGTGATTGGAAGAGTCTCAAAGATGCGTGTGACATACGGAGATGTATCAATAAGAACAGTGCTGGGACGATTTCGAGGCACTGCAGCATGTGATAGTGGCGGTGAGGATGAGCATCTAGACTGTACAGTCAATGCTTGTATGTGTAACTGCAGTGGCTTGGCATCATGTTCTACTGCAACTTCCGCTTTTCCAAGCTCTCTCACTCGCAATACCACCTGTAGACAACGAGCACTCTCTTCAAACCTCGAGCCGCAACCGCATTGCCCGATGTCTGCGCCTCAGCCCGCAAGTGCGCTCGAACAGCGCATCTACGACCTCTTACGTCCCTTCCGCAACGAGTGTTATGAAGAAATCGATCCTGTAGACCAGGTCGCAGCGACCAATCGAGCAATTAAGCTTGAGCGTATTGTCATCGTTCTAGCTCGTATGTGCCAGACCCCATCTCACTTACGACACTGACTCACTCGTTCAGAAAACATCGCCTTCCTCGCGCACAATCATATTGCGAATACCGAAAACAACATCAGTACCTCCGATATCTTTGTGGTTACAAGAGGCTGGGCGGGAGATGGAGTGGCTACGACTGACGGTGCCATCGCTGTTTTGGTGCGTTATCCAGAAGGGTTTATGGGTGTTGTCAAGGCTACATTCGAGGCCAAGGTAACTATCGTCGATGCATTGTGTACCAAAGTTGACAAGATGATTGCTGAGAACTTCTGAAAGAAGCGGCAATGGCTGTAATGAGAAGGAATTGATGTGGCTATGGGAGGATTGGTCGGCAACACTAGGCAAGAGCGTAAGCTCGTGAGTAGTTCAGATAGTACGAGGTGTTAATTGTGGCCGAATGGATCTGCTAGCGCTGTCCTTTTGCCTGCACCTTACAACACTGTGTAACTAAGCTCGACCCCGAGCATCTAACGTGTGACGGGCTGGCCTGGTTGCAGTTGAAGTGAGGCTTGCTAGTCGGGAGATTCCTGGACGCGGCTCTGACTCGTTGATTACACCTGAATCACTGCCATCAGCGGCTGGACGCTGTTTTTCAAGCCAGACAGGTAATTGGTAGGTGGGATGGGAACATTGCACAGCGTTCAGTATAGGGCAGAGTAACCTCAACTGAACGATCAATGCGTCCTTGCCCAGTCCCGGTAAAAGTCCAGACATTCGGCGTTGGCTACGCTCGCGCTCGTCTTAACATTGAGTCCGCAAAGTATTTGCTTGACAGCTCCTTCTACCTTTTTCCCGTTAGTGGTAACAGGTATCTCTGGACATTCGTCCACGACAGCGGGAACATGGCGCGCACTGAGTGCTTGTTTGATCGTTGTCTTTATTTTTCCAACAAGATTGTCAGAAATTTGACGGCCTTCTGCCATCTTCAGGAAAAGCACGACCGTCTCATCTGTATCAGACTCTCTCCTTCGCCCAATGCAAAGCGCATCTGCCACATCTTCAGGGAAATGTTGGAGCACCACATTGTATATCTCAGCTGATCCAAAGCGTACGCCTGCAGGTTTGAGTATACCGTCACTGCGTCCGAGCATCCACAGCCCACCAGTGGCGGGATTGAAGCGCACAAAGTCGCCGTGATGCCAGATGGGCTGCTTTTTTTCGTTCGTGAACTTGTCAAAATATGACTTCCAGTACTTTGAATCTCCTTCTGGTCCCCAAAACGCCACAGGTTGACATATGAAGGGTTTGGTACAGACCAAGTCGCCCGGTTCGCCCGAGGCTGAGACGTCGGCACCTGTGTAGTCATACGCAGCGATCGCCATGCCTAAACCAGCGCCTTGGATTTCGCCTTCATAGACGGGTAGAAGTGGGTTCGGTGCGCCAAACAATGAAATGATATCCGTACCGCCGGTAATGCTGCCTAGGTTGATGGTCGAGGGGAAGGCGGAATATACATAAGAGAACGTCGAAGGGGCGAGTGGCGAACCTGTGGAATAGATCGCCTCCAATTTGTCCATGACAAGTCCAGCAGCGGATGGGTCAACGGACTTTTGCTCTAGAATGGATAGGTACTTTGCGGATGTGCCGAAGTGGGTGATGCCGAACTCATCTATCAGACGATGCATCGCTAGGTCGTCTGCAACGGAAGTTGACGGGTCGGACTTGTCTACATAGCGGAATGGAGAACCATCATAGAGTACCAATGTAGCCCCTGATGCCAGTCCACTGACCAACCAATGCCACATCATCCACGTACATGTTGTAAAATAGAAGAGCCGTGATCGGAGTGTCATCGAGCAGTGAATAATGTGCTCTTTCTTGTGTTGGAGGAGTGTACCGATGGCTCCATGGACAATACATTTGGGTGCACCTGTCGTGCCACTTGAATACAAGATATATACCGGATGGTCTGGCGGCAATTGCTTGAAGACAAGCTCTGACATTGACTTCAGTGCTGTAAATGTTGCGTAATCGTAGGTTTTGCCAGATTTTACAGGAATGGAGGTGACATCGAACTGTACTGAGGCTACAGTAGGGAAGATAACAACAGCTTGGAGAGATGGCAGGTCCCGCGCAATGTCGGCAACCTTGGGTAGTACTGGATGGCTGCGGCCGTTGTAGAAGGCAGCGTTGTCTGCAAAGAGCAAAGCCGGCTCGATCTGACGTAATCTATCGAGCACAGCGTGGACGCCTGTATCTGGGCTGACTGCTGTCCACACTGCTCCCAGCGACGTCGCAGCTAGCATTGCTACCAAGGCGCTTGTGTGGTTCGCGACATAGCCAGCCACTCGATCGCCTTCCTTGAGGCCCAGATGTATCATTCCGGCTTGGCACAGCTTTACTCTGTCCCTGAGCTCCTGCCATGTCACAGTCTCCCTTGTGGTTTCTGTTGCGGCGATAACAGCAGGTGAGGAAGGATCGACTGTAGCGGTGGGGAACAGGAGGTTCTCGGCGAAGTTGAGTGTTGCTCCCGGGAAGAAAGCTGGACGAGGAAACATGGGCGCGTCGTCATCCACAGCCTATCCATTGTAAGCAAATATAATGTGCATGAACCCAAGACGACTGACTGATGTTGGGGTTCCTTGGTGCCTGATACCCACGAAATCCCAGGCTCTTTGCCAGAAGCTGTTGACATTGTTGATACTCCATGCGTGTAACTCCGAGTAGTTGGAAAGCCGCAGATTATGTGTCTCATTCACCAATTTGAGGAACTGGTACATGGGTGTCGTTTTTGGAGAAGGATGCTCCCACAGGAGTTTGGGACCTGTTGGACTGCCATTGGTGCCTTTCGTTTCGTTCATCGTGTCGCAGCCGGTATGAGAAGTGCTTCCAGGAGCCGTAGCATCAGAGTTGGCAAAAATTTGAGGTTTACGGCTATCCAAGGCTTCCAACAATTCCTGACAGGGGCCTCGGTTCCCCCGCGCCCGATCTTGTGGAGCGGCAAATTCCGCTGGCGGATCGCGAAAACATCGCGGTTCCCCACGTCAGAACACAACAGCAACCCCATGGGCAGTCCGGTCCTCATCGTTTTCATTCCGCGTATCCAGTCCGAAACGCGTTCTTTCATCGACGGCAGGCTTTCTGTATATACTGTCTACGTCACTCTAGTGGGGCTGCAGGACTGCGCCACGCGTGTGCGAAAGCGTCAACTACGCGCCTACGCTCTCAATACGGCATGAATGCGCCTGTGGATCACCACAGCCCTCACAGCTGATTCACAGCCACCAAACTCAACATTCTTGCTCTCATTATGCCACGAAAATTAGCGACCTCACCGGTATGGAGGCACAACGTGCGGACGCAGTGCTGAACATGGGAAATGAAGAAGTAACCAGGCCTTTCATTTCCAAATCGCCATCACTACCTCATCTGCGTGTTTCAGTACCACGATCGGCACGTTGGCTGGGGCCTTTTTCACCGGTTTCCAGGGCGTTGGAAGCGTAGTCTGATGGTGTGTAGGACAACGCATTCATGCCTAGCCCTAAGTGGGATAGCACATGGTCTTTGCCCTCAGGCTTGAGCATTTGTTACTGCATCGCCTACTGTCTTCATGGATCTTTTTCATATAGTTTGTTAGGAAATTACGAGGCACATTCGAAACAGACCGTCTGAGCGAATCGAGGCATTGGCAGCAAACACCATGGGAAAAATCGGATGCAGGAACAATCTTACATCTGCCATGGCTGGGTATCAGGATCAGACGATCACCTGGACATGCTACGCGATGGCACGGACGTTTGCCTAATTTCCTTCCACGCAAACTTCACATCTGCGACGCTTCGGACAACAGTTCCATCTGCTTTGCACCTCCAGCGTTGTATGGCTCGTTGTCTGGAACCCTCCGGAACTTCGGAAATGCACTCATGATGGGATCGAAAGTCCTCAGTTGAAGCCAAATGGACCCGTATGAGCCTCTTGATGATGAGATGATGGTCCATGCCATCTGTCGCGACTACAGCACCAAGGAAGGCGGGACGATCACTGAATGCTCGAGGACTCATCTTTAGCCAACTTTTCGAGTGAGTGTTACTAATGCCGACCCATATCTCAGGTGGCCAAGACTTTGCCGTATGTGCTCCGAGCGCCCGAAGATATATGGTTTTGGGGACTGGTACCTGCATCTGTCATCTGTCAGCTAGATCGGGGGTGTGACGTGTGAACACTCGCATCCTGCTAGATCCACTGTCCTGCCTATAGCTCTGGGACTAGGCCTACAGATGGGTTCCTCAGGGGTATTGCCAGAACTGGCTGCAGGACCGCTACAATGCTAGTGCTTATCTTGGACTGAGCAGTGTTGAGGGCTTGCCAGTGGATCCAGCACTTGCTATAATCCTGGACATGCCATCGCAAGTGCGGGTCTTGTTTGATGCTGCAGATGTTCGCGTCTTTTCGGATATCTTATTTGCATGCTTAGCGCAAACACGTTTCGTCCGCAAGACATTCAGTTCCCTCGCCACGAATCTCTGACAACGGGATAGGTAGGGGTTGATACGCACCAAGCCCATACATTTGCGAGATCGACATAGTCAGGAGCCTGCGCCCCCATGCTGAGGGTATGCGACCTGCATCTACGCTTCCATAAACGGGAGCACTTGAGTCGGCCGATGCTCTTCCTTGGGTGTCTGTGAGTTTTATGGTCCATGTCCTGGCCTCTTTACCCCCTTTCTCCGCTGAAGGTACACACATGAAACTGAAGATGCACGGCTGAGCCGGAAGTTTGCGATTGGTCTACCAGTACGATAAGACTCGGATCTGTTGGATGTCTAGCCTGATATCTTCACGCATCTAGAAGATACCCGTGATACTCTAGTATCATGATGACGGACGACTAATGCCCTTGTGTACAACGAATTTGATTGTGAGTAGTAAGACCCTAAAGAGAGGTAAAGCTCGAAAGATTTCACACCAGCACCGGGAGCAGAAACGCCACCGGATCGCATCACAATCCAACGACTTGGGTAACAAGTAAACGATGCAGCTTACAACCCTGTACCATGCCCTGGTTCATTGTTGCTCTTACCAAAACGGCCAGAGCTAGTGAAGCTCCATGCTTCACGTTGCCGTAATAGATCAAGAAAGGGCGTCAGAAAAGGAGTGAAAGATACGAACACGTGCGAAGCAACCACACTGGCTTCAAGTCTGGGATACATGGGCACCATATAGACTTAAAAGGTCCCAGTACTGACCTGATATCAACATTACCATCAACCACCTTAGACTTTCCAGTATCAAATCAACCTTCGAAATCCAGCTTGTCGAAGTTGCTGGTGAGT